CATGTTAAACTCATGGTGTATCGGCGCCGATTAGCCTCTCTCTTTGAAGTGGCGACAATGGGGCGCAGAGCTATGGCCACCTTGGAGGCTTGGACCACGCTTCCATCATCCTGTGCTCCTTGAAGATGGGTGCGTAGCGAGGGCAGAATTTCATGATCGATACTGTGAGCTCAACCAGCAGGCTTCTCGTTTCTGGAGATTCATCCGGACTTGGTTTCTTGCGGGCGCTGAGTTCACCCACAAGTTTCCGGTGTTGGAATTAATCTACGGTTGAAACAAACCGTGAGAGAAAAGGGGAGCCTTTTGACCCCAGGTGTGCAATGATCGGAAGCACACCACACATCCACACGTTTGGTTTTGGTCCCATGTACCCAGCACACACACATATATAAGGAAAAGGGGGTTTTCATTATGGATAACAACATATCGATCTAAACCACCTAACTGCCGATCCTGAATATGTGCTGAGGTATGTGAAGGCCATCTCCACCACCGGCCACCGTAGAGCTGTGCCTGCGGCAACCCTGCTGTCATCCTCGCCACCGTGCTGCTTCTTCCCCAACATCTCCTCGCCACTGGAGACACAAAGGTGCAGCCGTGGGCTACACAGGGGCTGCATCGAGATATCGCCAAGTACCTGTAAGTTTGTACGCTTCCGCATAAAGTTGTTGATCTAGTCTGAGATTAGGACCATATGTTGATTAGCCTAAAGGCTAATTTATCTAACATTGGTATCTCGAGCCTATCTAATCTGGCTAGAACACAAATTAGGCCTTCCAAACGTTAATTCCAAGTTAAATGGCCTAATTGATCTAAGATGATGGTTTTCGGTTAATGATGTGGTAGTCCTGATTGATCAAGTGCATCTCTTATTTTTGCCCCTATGTCATGTTAATGCTATGATCAGTAGCTAGCAGTTTTTCTGATAGCACATAAATTTTAATTGTTAATGTTCATGGTTATAAAGCCTTGATCCGAATCAAGTTAATATGAAGTAAAAAGGTATTGGCTCGATTAGCAGTGAGAAGGAGGGGAAATCGCAAGAAATCAAAGAAATCCGAATGGCAATCTTCCCCTAATCCCCAAATCCCAGCCCAGATCAACATTAAAAAAGGAAAGAGGGACTGGGACTTGTGTTGTTGTTGCCGGCCAACGTGCGTACTCACCATGGCAAGAAGGACGTCGTCCTTCGGGACGACGGCCGGAATGATGCGCCTGGCCGATCGCCTCTCTAATGGACGCGCGCAGCCAACGCTCCGTGCGTTTGCTCGCCGCCGTCACCACCAAAGATTGCGCCGGCGCCCGCCGGCGAGATGTGCTCCTCCGGTCCATGCGCGTGCAGCGTGGTCGCCACCGTTCGACGAGGAAGCACACGGCGTTGGTCCGCAGTAAGCTTCTCCGGCGAACGGAGCCGGCACGCCGCCATGCTTCTGCTGCGCGACGCTGCCGAAGCGGTCGCCGTTTTCTCTCATAGAGGCGAGCGGAGATTTTGGGGAGAAAGTGGGGAATGAGGTAGGGTTTGACCGGCAACCTGTTTTGTTCCGGCTGGGATGATACGGACCGTCCACTGAATCGGACGGCTGAGGTCGGTGCCCAGGCTAGCTGCTGGGCTTTCGAGTGGATAAAGGGCATAATCTGACCGGTGGTTGAGGCCTAAGTTGTCCAGGCCCCGGGAGATTTTTCTTTTTCCCTGAGAATTTTTCTCCTGGGCAAATCAATGAAAGGCTACCGTGGGTATCATGGGCAAAATTTAATGTTCTTTGCATTTTCCTTTTATTCAGTGCTTTTATGTATTATGATCATTCTCAAAATGTGTTGCGCTGCTTTAAAATGAAAATATCTAGAAAATTATGTTTTAGGTTTTCAGAATAAGCCTTTTTTGGGGTACTTTTAACACATGAAATTTGATGATGAGTATCATTTAAATATATTTGATGTAGGATTTTTTTTTAAATTTGATATTTAATCTAAGAATGATGTGGTCAATATCTATAATGAATTATTCATTTTTTTTAAAGTGCCCTTTATGCAGTTTTTTTTTTCAAGTTATGTCTTATGTACTAATTAAGTTAGAAAATGCCCTGATTTTAAAGGAGAAATATGATATGAGATTATGATGTCATTTACTTTCAGTGGTAATCTCTCTTTAATAGCATGTCAATGTTGAATTAAGAGATGATATTTTTTTTTGCACAGTTATGTTCAACTTAAAAAATTTATGAATAATTTTTTTTTTGGATATCAAACATGAATTTTATGTTGATTTTATGATAATGTTATTCCATAATGATGTGATCATCACTAACGGACTAAAGTCACCTCAACAAAAATGCTAATGCGTGGTGCGGTTTTCCGCGTCGCACTATGCATCTAATAATGTTGGGCATGTGTGCTCCTTGAACAATACTAAGGTTTATGTTGATTCATTTTATATTGAAATTAAGATATGCACTGTTGAAATAAGCATAATTGACCAAAATAGTATTGATAAAGTTATGATTGATTTTCTAACCAAATAAATGTTGATTAAAGAATTTTATGTGATATGCAATATCCTAGTCATTATATGACATTTTTATGAAATCTATCCAAAGTACATGTTGCCATTCATTTGACCATCATAATTTGTCAAATATTATTATTTCATGAATTATTATGTAACTTTATGTCCAAATTTTATTATTTTAATCTTATGATAACCTGACGATAATGTTAATGCCAATTTTAATGTTGGCAATGGCATTTATATTTATGACATTTTCACTCTGAATGCCCTCTTTAATGATTACTCGGTGGGAGGGACATTCCTATTTATATGTTAATTCAAATGTCATTTTCATTGTATGTCATTGACAATTCTAACGATAATTTTGACACTCAAGTTCAATATTTATATTATCGTTGTGAGATTTAGTGTCAAAAGGCATCATAGTGCCTCATGGCACACACGATTATATTATGATGTTACTTTATGTTAATGATGGCAATTAATTTAGTCGTAGTTCTTGTTGGTCATTACGAGATTTTACATCTCCCTAGTCAAAATGGAACCAACGAGAAGTTTTGATTAGAGATTTAATGAGCAAGCATTCTAATGGCATATGATGATATTCTTATTGATTATGTTTTTCATGTGTCATTTACGAATGAGTAAGGTTCTTTTTTGTTATCTTCCCAACGGTGATACAAATTAGAATAAAAATTAAGCATGTTTTTATTCATGCCATTGCATGGTTAGTTCATGCATGATTTTTTGTTATG